GGCACACCATCCAGGTGGATTACATCCCCTACATGGACGAGCTCGCCTGCCAGCTGGGAGTCAAGCCCAACCTGCTCACCCTCTTCCTCACGGACCCCAGGCTGGCTCTGGAGGTGGCCTTCGGTCCCTGCACGCCATACCAGTACCGGCTGCGGGGCCCGGGTGCGTGGGCGGGTGCCAGGGAGGCCATCCTGACCCAGCAGCAGCGCATCATCAAGCCCCTGCAGACGCGGCACGTGGAGGAACGTCCCTCAGCCCTCGCTGTGCCCCTCATCTTCAAGGTGGTCGGGGCTGTGGCCATCCTCGCTGCTGTTTTTGCTTACTTTTAGGTGCCCTGCAAGCATGAGAGGGCACGGTTTGCAATGTGCCAAGGGGCTGGCCGGCCACCCCTGCCCCGTAGCAGTCTGTGCACCCCAGTGCTGGCAGAAACCCCTGCCTAGAACGGCCCCATTGTGACCACACCACGAGCTCGGGATGCACAGAACCTCCCCAGCTGCCAAAATAAAGATTGGACCCCTGTGCTGTGCCTCTCCCTGTGAAGCTGCTGCCAGGGACAGAGAAAGAAACCTGCTCATATGTGGGGTAAAATCCAGTCCCTCTCAGCCAGCGCTCTGGGCTTTTATATCCCCTGTAACCCAGCTGTGCCACCGCTGGCACACTCACAGGAAAGCTAAGCAGCAAAGGCACTGCACACTTCCTAACTGCATAAATGCATTGAACAGCCAAGCATTGTCCTGTTACTGACAACATCATGATCCACTGTGTGCCAGGGGAATGCTCATGGGTGTGAGGTCGTCCTCGTGCCACTGGCCCACAGCAGTACACATGTACACACCTGTGTATTACCACGGCAAGACAGCCTCGCTCAGGGTGTGTGACATAGGAGCAGGTCCCAGGGGTCACAGTAGCACAGTTCAGTGCCACCTTCATCACCTGCACGCAGCCCCTCCAGAAGATGGCTGGGTGGGATGGCCACCCACAGTGGTGACAGGAGTCTTGGCCACCACACACCTGGGCTGGCATGACTGCCAACCACCTGAGCATCCTCCTAGTTTGTTTTCCATACCACAACCTGCTGAAATCTGGAGCACAGCCACATCTCTGCCCTGCCCACCGAGTCCCGGGGCAGTGCCAGCATCATCAAGTGCTTACAGAATCCAATGAGCCTCCTGTGGAGGGCAGGCACAGATAGGGGGAGTGGCAGAGTGGTGGGGGGAACCTGTAGATCGTGTCTAGAAGAAACACATCTTATGAAACCCTAGCTGCCCTTGGCCACCCACAGGAAGCACAGGGACACTCACTCCCAAACTGAGCGCCTTTCCTGGTGTAGCCCGCCAGGCTCTGCAACCCGCTCAGTGCCACAGCTTCTCCGGAATCCCTGCCAACACCAGAATGCGGGACATGGCTCCCCAGAGAGTAGCCATCATTGGTGCTGGTGCCTCTGGCCTGTGTGCCCTGAAATGCTGCCTGGATGAGGGGCTGGAGCCCACCTGCTTTGAGAGGAGCAAGGACATCGGGGGCCTCTGGCGCTTCGAGGTAAGCCCCACGCGTGCCAGCCTGCCCCATGGCAGCAGCATGGATAGGATTGGGATCGGTTCTTGGCAGATAAAGCACCACTCCCCTGCTTTGTAAGCGTGTGCCAGGCAGGTTTGCAAGCTAAACGACAGGAAAGTAAAACGGCTTGGCAGCAAAAGGTCCCCATGGTGCCAGCCGGTGTGCTTGGGCACATGGGACCCATCTCCTTCCCACCAGCAGCAGCACGGACCCTCTCCAAGGACCTCACCCCAGGGCTTACTCCCCCCAGCTCAGCTTTCCTCTTTCCCATCCTTCCCTTCCTGGTCTCATCCACCCCTTGCTCTGCTGATTTGCTCTTGGTCCCCTCCAGCCCTTTCCCACATATCCTTGTCCTATCTGATCCCATTGTCTGTCCCAGTTTCTGTCTTTTCCAGCCCTTCCCTGGAATCACTGTTGCTCCCCTCCCTGCTCCTGTGCTGCTCACCCACGCAAAGGCAGCAAGTGCTCCCTCCTCTGTGCCTTGGCTCTCCCTGTCTCAGGGGAAGCCTGGGAGCTTGTTTCTGCACCCACATAATAAGGCTGCTGACTTTTCCCCCATGGACCCACCAACAAGAATACCAGTGCTCCCACCATGCCCTGTTATGTGGGTGGGAGAGGCCGGGGGGACACACATGGGCACCACACCAGTGTGGGGTTGGGAGTGGCTCAGTCACAGCCTGCTGGTCCTGCCCATGATGGGTCAGGAATGGGACTGGTGCAGCGAAGCCAGGGAAGCAGCATCCAGCTGCTAAGGCACAGACCTGTCAAGCAGGAGCAGCCACTCAGCAGGAAGCGCTGGAGCTGGCTCCACAACCAGTGAGACCTGATGTGGCAGCTGCGGCAATGACACCACAGGCAGCTTCGGGAATGCACCACCTCACAGGGGCAAGGAGTGGGAGTGGGGAAGCTGAGGCACGAGACCACCAGGACATGCTGTCACTACTGCCTGGTTGTCACAGACCCAGAGCTTCCTCTTCCCCGTTTTTTGAGGCAGGTGGTCTCCCTCATGGGAGAGTGCAGGGATGGGTGCTATGATCACCTGTGGCCTAACTCAGCATTCACAGGCATGGAGATGTGCCAGGCAGGGCAGGCAGATGGCCCTGCAGTCCCTGGCCAGTGCTGAGCCCTGACCCACTCCTACAGGAGAACCCCGAGGACGGCCGTGCCAGCATCTACCGCTCTGTCATCATCAACACCTCCAAGGAGATGATGTGCTTCAGCGACTTCCCCATCCCCGAGGACTTCCCCAACTACATGCACAACTCCAAGATCATGGAGTACTTCCGCATGTACGCCCAGCACTTCGACCTGCTCCGCCACATCCGCTTCAGGGTGAGAGCTGGGGGGCCAAGGGGGTGGTGGCAGCGGGGCCAGGGGGTGCAGGGTGCCTGATGCCCACTCCCCCTGCACCCAGACCAGCGTGTGCCGCGTGTCCAAGCGCCCTGACTTTGCCACCACGGGCCAGTGGGAGGTGGTGACGGAGAGCGAGGGGAAGCAGGAGGCAGCTGTCTTCGACGCCGTGCTGGTGTGCAGCGGGCACCACACCGATGCACATCTCCCACTGAACACCTTCCCAGGTACTGCCTCACGGGCTGCTCGCCCGGTCCTTGACACCCCTGGGACCACCCTCCTCTCC